CTCAATCCACCATTCATCTCTTCAATCAGCTTCGAATCTTGTTCAGATATTTCCATCAAATCAGTCTCATCGCAGACAATCAACAACGGTTTGTTCACAAACAGAGACTTCAAGCTGTACAAAAGAGCAGCTTGATACGCAATACTGTAACCACAAGAACAAGAAACATCCAAAAAGAACACAACAAGTGAAGCTTGAAGATGACGAGACAATGCAGTGATAATAGCATTATAGTCTCCAGACAAAGACCTATCCAAAACACCAGGTGCATCAATCACTTGGTACATCAAATCCTTGTAATCAGTATGACCAACAACAAAATTCACATACTTTCCTACAAAATCATCAACAACATGACCAGCTTCGGTATTGATTCTGTTCATAAAACAAGTCTTGTCCACATTAGGGTACCCAGATATCAAGAGAGTTGGAGAATTCGGATCAATCGAAGGAAGCTTCACCATGTGTTGCCTGAGTTGCTCCAGGTAAGCTAAACTAGGAGTGATTTCGTTTACAACACTAAACATTCTTCCAATACCACAAACTTTTAGGGTTTTGCACTGTTTCAACGATTCACTAAACTCGATTTGCTTTACATAATCATTAGCCATTCTGGTGATTAGATGCTTCGCAGTACTCACTTGACCTAGAGCGAGCTTNTATCGATCTCTATCGAAAATCAAGCGAAGGAGATCACTGTACAAAGGGTTGATTTCATCGATGCGAGGAAACTCGTCGATGATCGTGTAGAGCTTATCGCGAAAGCTGAGCTCTGTTTTCTTCACCTCACAAGTGTATGATTGACGGAGACGATTGACCTCGAAACCTTTACGGAGAAGACGATTTGGAGTTTGAGAATGGTTTCGGGGAAGGACGAGATCGAAGAACTCGTTTCCGATTGGAACAACGTTTATGTTAGTGAAATCAGATTGCATTGTTGGTTGTTTTTTCGGAGAAGAAGATGATCGGAAGGGGAAAAAAAAAAAAAGAAGCTCTGTTTTGGATTTGCATTCATGTAACGAACTAATGAGCAAGAGTGTTGTTATTAAAAAGGAATATATTTGTTTTCCATTAAACAAAATCGAGAGGGATTAGGCCAAATCTATATTTTTCTATTCTTTTCTCATGTTAATTTATTTATCCCCGTAACAAAATTGTGATTTTTTTAGAAAAAGTTGTGACGTTTTATAATTAAAAAGGTAATCACCTTTTTAAATGGGGAAAATATGCCCCATTAAACTTATAAATAAAGATTAGTTGTCATATATCTTTTGAATTTTAGTAATTTGTACAAAAAATAAAAATAAATTGGAAGTCACTTATTATTTAGGTAAAATTACAAAAATACTATTTTTTATGTGTATATTTGCAAAAATACCAGTTAGGGGTGTTTATTTACAAAACTGCCTTT